TGGTCTGTACATTCTCATCTCTGTCCTCTCAGACCTAGGTTTTACCTTTTTGCCTTCTCAGGTTCTTTTTCTTTTTTGTAAATTGAGGTGTAATCCGCATATAACATTATATTCGTTTCAGGCGTACGAGCAGTGATTTGATGTTTATGTATATTGTGAAACGAACACCACGTTCACAGCCTTCACCACGTGTAATTACAAAATTACTTTTCTTATGAGGAGAGCTTTTAAGATCTTTCTTAGCAACTTCCAAATATGCAACACAGTGTTATTAACGATTGTCACCAAACTCTTTCTTTAATCCCCAGGACTGACCTTATACATGGGGGTTTGTACCCCCACTTCATGCATTTCCCCCTCCCCCCACCACCCCCACCTCGGGCATTCTGTTCTCTGCCAGTCTGTTCTCTGTATCTGTGAACTCGGGGGTTTTGTTTGTTTCTTTGTTGTTTTAGATTCCATGTATCCGTGAGATCATATGGTGTTTGCCTTTCTCTGTCTGACTTATTTCATGTAGCATAAGGCCAGTAAGGTCCATCCATGTTGTTGCAAATGGTAGTCTGTCTGTCTTTCTTTCTTTCTTTTTCTTTTTTTCTTCCTTTAATGGCTGAATAATTCTACTGTGTATATATACAGGTTTTTTTTTTCAACCACATTTTCTTTATCCATTCATCTGTCAGTGGCACTTAGGTTGTTTCCTTGTCTTAGCTTTTGTAAATAATGCTGCAGTGAACATGGCGGGGGCAGGTATGTTTTGGAGTTAGTGTTTCCATTTGTTCAGATCAATACCCAGAGGTGGAATGGCTTGAATGGTACTTCTATTTTTACTTTTTTAAAGAACCTCCCCACTGTTTTCCACAGTGGCCGCATCAGCTTTCTTCCCACCAACCGCACACAAGGGTTCTCTTTCCTCCATGTCCTCGCCAACACTTGTTACTTCTTGTGTTTTTGAGACTGGTTCTTCTGACAGGTGTGAGGCAGTATCTTGCTAAGGTTTTGAGTTACATTTCCCTGATGATGAGTGACGTGGAGTATTTTCATGTACCTGTTCGTCATTTGTATGTTTTCTTTTTTAAATGTATATTTGTAAAGATTTTATTTATTTATGTGTGAGAGAGAGAAATCATGAGAGTGGTGAGGGTCAAAGGGAGAAGCAGACTCCCCGCTGAGCTGGGAGCCCAATGTGGGACTCGATCCTGGGACTCCAGGATCATGATCTGAGCTGAAGGCAGATGCTTAACCCACTGAGCCACCCAGGTGCCCGCCATCTCTGTGTTTTCTGTCTCAGATTCTTTAGGGACCAGGTAGAGAAAGGCCTCACTGAGCTCACCTGGGTGGTTGAGACTGGGGAGCGGACGCAGTGGGACTTTCCTCTGACTGAGAGGACAGCGGCTTCTGTGCGTCGTGCGCTGTGGGAGTGTGAGCAAGGGGCAGGACAGGGACGGACAGCCCAGCTGCAGCACACAGAGGGCCTCAGGCAAGAAGTGACTCTAGCAGGTTACAAAGGTTGGAGCTTCCCCTGACCCTGGGGGCAGGCCTGACCCTGTGAGTGCTGCCTTCCAGAGCTTGGCCATTCTTCTGCTGTCCAGTGTCAGTGTGGACGTGGTGGAAGTGGGTGTGACATTGCCAGCACCATGTCCCTCTCAACAGACCAGGCTGTCCTCTGACAGTGTCCCTATGCCAGTGCAGCCCTGGCTGGGCTGTTCACCGCTGGGTCACTTCTTCCCAGTGCCCACCCGTGTGCCTCCTCGTATTCTTTCTGGGGTTGGGAAGGAGCAGTGGAGGGCAGCAGCTGGGGGCTGTGCATTACTCCCTGTCCATTCATGACTAGGGATTTATGAGTTGCTGATGTGTTTGCCATTTCCTTGTGAGCCTTTTCTGGGTGAGCCGTGTGTGTGGCTGAGTACAGGGCGGTGGGAGTGGGGTGGGGAGGGACACAGTGTCAGCTGGTGCTGCCAGGGAGGTTCATGGCAGCAGACGGAGAGCTGAGGTCCTCAGCCTGGCACAGAGTTGGTTGGCCCCACAGATGGCTTTTGAATGGAGGATGGATGCTCAGCCAAGGAAGACTCCCTGGTTCCCAGCCAGCCACCCCTCTGCCCCCATGGAAGGCCCCTGGAGGACAAGTGTTGCTGGGAAGCTGGCTGTATTTTTAGCCTCGGGGACATGCTATATGTGGCAGCCTGTGGCTCATGGCAGTTACCAAGCAGGTTGATTAAAGGCAGCTTTGCAGAGTAATTATGCAGCTTTGGGGACTGGCAGGAGGCTTCCCATACTGAGTGCAGGGCCGGGGGTCACGGGGAGCAGGGAGAAGCCAGGGAGGAGCTTTTCTGTGTTGTGAACTCCTTCTGAATAGCACCATCAACATAGCCTTTGGGGGGGCTCAGTGTAGTGTCGAGCCTCTTTCTTCTCCCCAAGGGACTGTGCATTCCTTCTGGAGGCTCCTGGATGAGCCCCACACCTCCCAGGTTGTCTTGCCCCTAACCCCCTTCTACAGTCAGAAGCTTTTGATGGTCCCATTTGCCTGTGACTTATCATGGGCCTCTGAGCTTGGTGGTGGGTGCTTGCTCAGTATGGTCTTCAGTAGCCTGTTTTCTTACTTCCCTTCTGCTGCAGCTGGTGTCTGTGACCCCAGCTCAGCACTCCTGTTCAGAGTCCTTTCCCTGTCTATGTAGTTTCTTACGTTAACCCTCCCCTTTCTTTAAGCTTATGTTTGAGGCCCGGGTCCTTTGTTTGCAGTCTCTGGAATGCCCCCTTCCGGAGGCCAGGTGGGCTCCTGGAGGGATCAGGGGATAGGGTTGGGAATGAAAACTTCAGCAACAGGTCAAGCCGAGAAGAGTGTTCTTACCGCTGAAGCTCAGGGATACCTTTCCCTATTGGGTTTTGAAGAATGAATAGGAGTTTGTCAGTACGATTCTGGAGGAACCAAAAATGGAATGACTCGAACACTGGCATGAAAGGGGTGAAGTACCAGTGGCAGGGGGGCTTGGGGCATGATGAGGGCTCAGGCCTGGGAGCTTGGCTGCCTTGCGTGCCGCAGTCCAGAATCAGTGCCGTGTCCTGGAGTACCATACCTCCACGCACCCCATTGGTGTCCCTGGCTGTAGCTGGCTGCTAGTGCAGGAGTGGTTGGGCCAGCGTGTTATCTGCACAGACAGTGGTGCTCTTGTCCACTGGTATTGGAGTGGGCCCATGGTGGGGGGTGCGGGATCTGTGTTAAGACTTAGGAGGCTTCAGCTGGGTGGCCTGTTTCATGGGCAGGGAACACGGCAGGTGCCATCAACATTAAAGCTTAAGGCATGGGGGTCAGTGCCTTCATTCGACATGGAAGGGAGACCAAGGTGCTGGTGCTGGAGGTGGGGCCTGAAGCCCAATATCTCAGTGCTCCCATCCTCCTCCAAAATAGGGAAACTGAGGCACGGGTGGGTTTCCTTAGTCCTTCCAGGCTGTATGGGACAGAGTTAGGATATGAGTCAGGATGTCTCTCCATACTCGGGCTCCACGCAGAGATCCAGACAACGGCCCATGCCGTGTTGGCCCTGGTGTGCAGGCCGCCGGCTGAGCGCTGGCATCCCCAGGGCGTCAGGGAGGAAATGACGCCACTTGCACAGGGAATGGCTTGCACTGTGCACCCACGCGTCCATACGGTCGCCTTTCTTTGAAAAGGCTTGGGTTAGTGTATTTTGTTGAATGTCCCCCTATGTGTGTCACACACCATTGTAAGATGAATAATGCAAATGACACCGAGCTCTGTATCTTCTATCACATTTTGTGTCTTGGGAAAACAAATTGGGAACAGAACCTTGAAGAATGTACTTCATTTCCTGTTAGAGCAAGTGAAACCTGCAATATTAATACCACAGGGTTTCCCATACCTTCCTCCAAAAGGATTAGAGAAATACATTCCCTGCTCTCTCCAGCGGAGGCCTGGCTGCTGGTGGCCTCAAGTCATTAGCTCTCTGTGCTTGCTGACCTTGGGGAATGAACAGGAGGCATCACTTGGAAACCTGGAGAGGCTCATGATCTACTCGCAACTCTGATTTTCAGAGTGTTTGGCTGTTCTGCAGAACCCCAGAGTTCTGACCCTGCAGTTCTGAGCCGCTTTTAAAAAATTCTTTTATTTTTTCTTTTTTCCTTTCTTTCTTTTATTTTTTCAGTGTTCCAAGATTCATTGTTCATGCATCGCACCCAGTGCTCCATGCAATACGTGCCCTCCTTATTACCCATCACCAGGCTCTCCCAACCCTCCACCCACCTTCTCTCTAAAACCTGTTTGTTGCTCAGAGTCCACAATCTCTCATGGTTCGTCTCTCCTTCCAATTTCCCCTAATTCACTTTTCCTTTCCCTCTCCCCTTGTCCTCCATGCTATTTGTTATGCTCCACAAGTAAGTGAAACCATATGATAATTGATTCTCTCTGCTTGACTTACTTCACTCAGCATAATCTCCTCCAGTCCTGTCCATGTTGATACAAGAGTTGGGTATTCATCCTTTCTGATGGAGGCATAATACTCCATAGTGTATATGGACCACATCTTCCTTATCCATTCGTCCATTGAAGAGCATCTTGGTTCTTTCCACAGTTTGGCGACCGTGGCCATTGCTGCTATAAACATTGGGGTACAGATGGCCCTTCTTTTCACTACATCTGTATCTTTGGGGTAAATACCCAGTAGTGCAATTGCAGGATCATAGGGAAGCTCTATTTTTAATTTCTTAAGGAATCTCCACACTGTTTTCCAAAGTGGCTGCACCAACTTGCATTCCCACCAACAACGTAAGAGGGTTTCCCTTTCTCCACATCCTCTCCATCTGAGCCGCTTTTAACGCTTCGATGCAGGGTGCTGTTAGCCTCTCTTTTTAACGTGTGGCCTGTCGCTCAGCTAGAACGCCCGTGTGTTCATCGATGAGCAGCCTGCCCGCAGCCCACTGATGCCCTGCTTGTGCTCTCTTTCGTTCCAGTCTCCAGAAGCTTGAAGCTTTGCTGAATCCCGGGTGGGCACGCCAGCCTCTGAGGCCAGGACTGTCCTGCGGATGGCTGAGAGTCCTCTGGGGCCTGGCAACTCTGAGTGAGTAGGACCTGTGGTTGTCACTGCTGTGCTGCCCCCACCCCCCTGAGCTGTTGGCATAGACACCTCGGCTCATGTGCTGAATGGGAGCTGGGAAAACAGCGATGTGTCCTGTTACCCCCACCTCTGCGTAATGAAAGCTTAAGTGTGGTGACACGAAAATTTTTCATTGTTTTCCTTTTTTTTTTCAAATTTACCTTCATTTAAAAAAAAAAAAATTAAAGGTTTTGTTTGTTTATTTGAGAGAGAGAACATGCAAGAGAGAGCACAAGCAGGGGGAGCAGCAGGCCGAGGCAGAAGAGAAGCAAGCTCCCCGCTGAACCGGGAGTCCAACATGGCTGGATCCCAGGATCCCGGGATCATGACCTGAGCCGAAGGCAGATGCTTAACCAACACAGCCACCCAGGCACCCCATAAGTTTACCTTCATTTTGTGGAGAAAGATGGGAAGGAGTGCAGGACATGCCTAGAAATACAGTAGACTGTATTTCCTATGACTCTGTCCATTTCCTCTCAGACCTGCCAGGTCCCTTTCTGCTGCCTTTGTGTTCTGGGTGGTACTGTGTTACCTCTGAGGCAGCCCCCATTCCTGTCAGGGGAGTGGCTCTCCCTGCGAGTGCAGCCATCAGGGTCCCAGGATGTTTGAATACATGTTTCCGGTTCTTTTGTGTATAAACCTAGGACTGGAATTGCTAGATCATATGGTAATTTTGAAAACCAAACTGTTTTCCACAACTACTGTCTTATTTTACATTCTCACCAGCAGTATTTGAGGGTTCCAGTTTTCCTCATCCTTACCAACATTTGTTCTTCTCTTTCTTTCTTATTTTTTTTTTTTTTTTAAGTTATGGCCAACCATATGGGTGTGAAGTGGTACCTTGCTGTGGCTTTGACTTGCATTTCCCTTTGTCAAGCTAAGGATAGTCTCTATCACTAATGTGGTGAATGTTTCTTTTTAAATCGAGAATTGGTATTGGATTTTTGTCAGATGCTTTTTCTGCATCAATTAATACAATTGTGTATTTTTTTCTTCTTTAGTCTGTGTGTGATGGTTTACATTAATTGCTTTTCTCATGTTGAACCAACATTGCATTCCAGGAAGACATGTCACTTGGTTGTGGTGTATAATTCTTCACATACATTGTTGGATCCTATTTGCTAATATTTTGGTGAGGATTTTTAAGGGTGTTCATGAGAGATACTGGTCCATAGTTTTCTTGTAATTATCTGGTTTTGATGTTAGGGTCATACTGGCTTCATAATTTAGGAAGTATTCCTTTATTTTCTTTTTTCCTTTTTTTTTTTTTTTTTTTTTTTTTTAGAGAGAGAGAGAGAGAGAGCCAGTGAGTACCCATGTGTGCATGCAAGGTGGGGAGCGGGGGTTGGGGCACAGGGAGAGAATCTTAGGCAGACTCCCCGCAGAACAAAGAGCCTGACATGGGGCTTGATCTTACAACCCTGAGATCATGACCTGAGCCAACACAAAGAGTTGGACACTTAACCAGCTGAGCTACCCAGACACCCCATCCCTTCCTTTTCTAATTTCTGAAGTAGATTATAGAAAATTGATATCCTACCTTCCTTAAATATTTGATAGACTTCATGAGAGAAGTCATCTGGGCCCAGTGATTTTTTTAGAGAAGGTTCTTCTTGTTTTTTTTTTTTTTTTTAAGATTTTATTTATTTTTTTGACAGACAGAGATCACAAGTAGGAAGAGAGTCAGGCAGAGAGAGGGGGGAAGCAGGTTCCTTGCCGAGCAGAGAGTCCAATGCGGGGCTCGATCCCAGGACCCTGGGATCACGACCTGAGCCGAAGGCAGAGGCTTTAACCACTGAGCCACCCAGGTGCCCCTAGAGAAGGTTCTTAATTATTGATTTAATTTCTTTAATACAAATAATTGTTCACTTTGTCTTTCTCTTTGTTTGAATTTGGTAGTTTATATCTTTTAAGAAATTGGCACATTTTATCTAAATTACCAAATTTGGGAGCATAGAGTTCTTTGTTGTATTCTTTCATTATCCCTTTAATGTCCATGGGATCAGTATTTCTTTCATTTCTCATATTAGTAATTTGTGTCTTCTCTCCTTTTTCTTGTTCAGCTTGGTCAGAACCCCCCAGAATTTTGGTGTGTTGATTTTTTTTTTTCTATCATCTTCCTATTTTTGGTTTCATTGATTTACGCTCTTTTGCTGTATTTCTTGTGCTTAATTTAGGCTTACACTTGTTCTTCATCTTGTTGCCTAAGGTAGAAGCTTAGGTTACTGAATTTAGATCTTCTTTTCTAACAGATACATTTAATGTGATACATTTTTTTTCTCTAAACACTACTTTTGCTACATTCTACAAATTTTGACCAATCCTATTTTCATTTAGTTCAAAAAAAATTCTAAAAATTTATTGATACTTCTTCATTGACCCATGTGTTATTTAGAATTGTGTTGCTAGATTTTTGAGTTATTTGGGGGTTTCGTCTATCCTCCTGTTGATTTTTTTTTTAAGATTTTTATTTATTTATTTGACAGAGAGATAGATCACAAGTAGGCAGAGAGGCAGGCAGAGAGAGAGGAGGAAGCAGGCTCCCTGCTGAGCAGAGAGCCCGATGCGGGCCTCGATCCCAGGACCCTGGGATCATGCCCTGAGTCGAAGGCAGAGGCTTTAACCCACTGAGCCACCCAGGCGCCCCTATGATTCCTATTAAAAAAAAATATATTAAAGTGTGTTTTATGGCCCCAAGTGTGGTCTGTTTCAGTGCTCTGATCATAATGTTTGTATCTGCCCTCCCCTCCCCCCGCCCCCAGCAAGCCCCTTGCAAAGTCCTTTGTTGAAGTCCTACCCTGCAAGGTGATGGCATTGGGGCCGGAGGTTGGGACCTTTGGGAGGTGATTAGGCAGAGCCTTCATGGTAGTGTAAGTACCCTTATAGAAGAGACCTCACAGAGCTCTGCCATATGAGGATACACCGAGAAATCTGAGCCCCAGAGAGGAACCCGCCTCTGACCATGCTGGCTCCCTGGTCTAGGACTTTCAGCTCCTAGAACTGGGAGAAATAAAAGATTATTGTGTGTAAGCCTCCTAGTCTGTGGTATTTTGTTATAGCAGCCTAAGGATTAAGACACTTGGGTGAATGTTCCATGCAAGCTTGAGAAGAATGTGTATTTTGCTGTCGTTAGAATATTCTATAAATGTCAATTAGATGCAGTTGATTGATGGTGCTGTTCAAGTGAACTATCCTTGTTGGTTTTCTGCCTACTTGTTATATCAGTTACTGACAGAGGATGGTGACATCTCCAATTATAATAGTGGATTTGTCTCTCTCTTCAGTTCTGTCAGTTTTTGCCTCATATATTTTAATACTCTGTTGTTAGGTGCATAGCAGTTTACGATGGTAATATCTCCTTTTTGAAATTCAAATTCAAGTTAGTTAACATATAATGCAGTATTGGTTTTAGGAGTAGAATTTAGCGATTCGTCACTTACATAGAACACCTAGTGCTCATCACAACAAGTACCCTCCTTCATGCCCATCTCCCATTTAACCCATCCTCCCACCCACATTACCTCCGTCAACCCTCAGTTTGTTCTCTGTACTTAGAGGAGTCTCTTATGGTTTGCCTCCCTCTCTGTTTTTATATTATTTTATTTTAGGATTATCATATATCCCTGAAGAATTGAATAGAATTATATATCATTATGTAATTGCCCCCGTCTCTATCCATGATGATTTTCCTTGTTCTAAAGTCTGCTGTGTCTGAAATTAATATTGGCACTCCCAATTTTTTTTAATTGGCATTAGCATGGTGTATCTTTCTCCATTTCTTGACTTTTAACCTAGCAGAATCTTTATATTTAAAATGGGTTTCTTGTAGACATCATATAGTTGGGTCTGAGGTTTTTATCAGCTCTGATGCGGTTTCATGAGGAGAAGTCTGCTGTTCCTCTATAGATAAAGTATTTTCCCACTTTCTTCTGGCTTCTTTCATGATTTCCTCTCTCTCTCTCTCTCTCTCTTTTTTTGCAGTTTGCTTAGGTATTTTTTTTGTTTTGTTTTGGTTTTGGTTCTTTTTCTTTTCCTTTTTTAAGTATTTATTCTGTTTGGTGTTTTCTGAGCCTCCTGGATATGTGGCTTGCTGTTAGTAATTTAGGAAAAATTTTGAGAAAATATTTCGCAAATTTTTTCCTTCTCCATTATTTCTTTTGACTCCATTTGATATTCTAGGTACACATATGTTATATCTCTTGATAGTGTCCCACAGTTCTTGGATGCTACTCCTAACCCCCGTTCCTTTTTTCTCTTTGCACTTCATTTGAAAACGTTTCTAATGATCTCTCTTCAAGCTCACTGATTTGTTCCTCAGCCATCTTGAATCTGCTGATGAGTATTCTTCATTTTCAAGGGCATTCTTCATTTCTATTACAGGTTCTTTTCTTTTTTTTTTTTTTCTTAAAGATTTTATTTATTTATTTGACAGAGGGAGAGAGATCACAAGTAGGCAGATAGAGAGGGGGAAGCAGGATCCCCGCTGAGCAGAGAGACGGATGCGGGGCTCGATCCCAGGATCCTGAAATCATGACCTGAGCGGAAGGCAGAGGCTTTAACCCACTGAGTCATCCAGGTGCCCCCCACTTTTTTAAGAGTTTATTTATTTATTCCAGAGAAAACAAGGGGAGGAGTAGAGGGAGACAGCTAAGTAGACTCCCAGTGGAGCATGTAGCCTGATGCAAGGCTCCATCTCAGGAATCTGAGATCATGCCCTGAGCTAAAACCAAGAGTCAGATGCTCAACTGACAGAGCCACCCACGTGCTTCTACAGGTTCTTTTAAAAAAAAAAAAATTTCTGGCGTCTGGGCGCCTGGGTGGCTCAGTCAGTTAAGTGTCTGGCTCTTGATTTTAGCTCAGGTCATGATCTCAGTGTCGTGAGATTAAGCCCTGAAGTGGGCTCTGCACTGGGCATGGAGCCTGCTTAAGATTCTCCCTTTCCCTCTCCCTTTTCTTCCTTTCTC